AGTTTGTAGTTTTGTTTTCGTGTGTTGTGTTAGATTTCTAGTTTGTGTTGTCAGTGTTTTAGGTTTGGGTCATTTGGCCTCTGTGCGCCCGAGTGTTACCTTTATTACCCTGTTGGGGTCCGACACTCGGTATTACCCTGTTGGGGTCTTTGTGTTGTTTGTTGTGTTTGTAGTGTTTTTATTATCCCTTTGGGGTCGTGGTCGAGTAGTTGGTCTTGTTAGTTCGAGTTTTTATTCTAGTGTTGCTATCGGGATTCTAGGCGGGCTTCTGACCTGTCCTCCCATTTTATTCTCCCGTTGGGTGCTTTGTATTTTTATTCGCACATTTGTGCGCTTTTGATTTATAATAGTATCTCTATCGTTTCGGCCAAAAAAAAAAATATGTATGTATGGTTTATATTGACAAAGCATAAACTGATTTTTTTTGGTATATGTATGGTATATATTCAGTATATTTTTGGTATATGATAAAGAAATTTATCGCTAGACATAATTTTTATGTATAAAATCTATTTATATTTAGCATAAACTGAATTTTTTTGTTGGTGTTGTGTATATGTATGGTTTTGTATTGAGTAATAATATGTTATAATATGTTTTTAAACTATATAGATATATATATACTTTTATGTATAAAAGAAAAAAAAATAGGAAGATATAATTTTTTATAAAAGACATGTTTTTTTTTCATTACAACATATACTGAATATATACTAACATATACGCAACATATACCTACCTGGACAACTTTGTGAAAGCTGCGCAAATTAAGGAATTAAAGGAGTTAGTTATTGTATGGAATATACTAATATATACGCAACATATACCCACTAGCCGCGAATTAAGAAATAAAGGAGTTCGTTCTTGTACGGATATATACTAACATATACTCAACATATACCCACCTTGACAACTGCGTGAAAACTGAGCATCTCCAATGCTCTAATGTTGTAATAGAAATTTTTTTGACAAATGTCAAAAAATTAAATAGATTGTGAACCATGTAGGACAAATGTTGAGTTCACAACTATTAAATTAAAAAATCATCTCCAATGCACAATATTGTCTAATTAAAATATTATCTACTTGTCAAATAATAAAATATTAATATGAAAATAATAAAATTTAATAAATAATTAAATGGTTTGAAGATGGTAATAATAATTCTCTCTTTTCTCCTCATTGGCTAATTAGAATGTGGAATAGAATGTGGATGAACCACATTCTTCTCTACATTGTGGACATTAATTATGTCCACATCATCACAACATTTGTGAT